GAGAAACTAATGAGGTGAGTGTTCAGAACCTGATTATAAACCAGGCATATCTCACTACTCCTTTTCACATGAATTCGCTCTCTCTCCCTCTCCTGGCACCACCCCTTCCCCACTGGGTTGTGATAATTTTTTATACAATGATGCATTTCAGGGCAAGCCGAGTACTGGTTCTTTCGTACAATCACCAGTATCTTCTTCCTTTAGCCACAGTCCAAGCTCTAATTCTACTCCTCCTGGCTCTATCTCCATAGTTAGTGATTTACGTGAACCTAATCAGAATCTATCCAGTCCAGGTTCACTAGAAGTTAGTTCAGATATAGTCAACAAAAATGGAAGGGGGAACCCAGAAAATTTATATGGAACGGGGGAGTTGGATAGTTTGACTAAGTTTGATGTTAATCAAGCTTTGCGACAGCTTGAAGAGCAGTTAAGCTTAAATGAGGACAGCTTCAAAGGATTTATGGACGACAGTCCAAATGCTTCAGATATCCTGGATTATACTGATATCACCAATAAGGATCAGTTTGCTGCCTTCAATGAACCCGGATATGTTGTGCACGATCAGTTCTACAGTGAACCTGCTCGGATGCAAGGTAATGCAGACTATAGTGGTGAGCACTGTAAAATCATTGACCATGAATTCAGAGATGGAAACAAAGAATCTGCTACTTGGAAAGAGTTTCTGGATCCACGGAAGAATTCATCAGTCCTAAAGTCGGCGGAGAAATCTTTATATACATTGGACAGAAATGTGAGTGTTGCTAAAACCTTTTTTACTGTCCACCGTTATTACACCTTTACTCGGATGGATTTGTTAATAGCTTTTGGCCGCTTTGCTTGTCTTTTATGCATAGACTGGTCCCATTTGTCAATAACCTTTTTATGTTAGTTGTACCTTTAAGCTACTGAGCCATCAATTCATTGTTTTTTTCCCAATCGAAACAGGAAAACTCGCTGTCTTCCTTGAGGAGTGGACCAACTGAAGTGCAGGAGCATCATCAATGGCTAAATTCCAATGAAAATATTGTGGACAATGGTATGATATCCTTTTCTCGTTATGAAAATCGCTTTAACACTTCATTTAGCGCGTATTGAGTATTTTTCAGATTCTAACAAGCTTCACATGTAACCAGATTCTTTGCCACTGCCTCTAGAAGTTGACAGATCCAAACTGTATCCGTATGATTTTGTGTCTGGAACACATCCAGACTATTATACACAGTTATTTGAGCAAGGCCAGATAGGATCTGTTGATTCTGATATCAGTTTGACTGTTGCACAAAATCAAAAGTTCACTATTCGGGAAATATCTCCAGAGTGGGGTTATGCCACTGAAGCTACAAAGGTATGATTGTTCTCAGTTTTATCATACCAGCTATCAAATACTTTCTACCAGGTGCATCTAATGCTTCAAAGCTAAAGTTTGAGTTATAGGTCCAGAACTCGATGACCCATTATCCGAGTTACCAATACAAGTGTCTATCAAAGCCCTTTCAAACACCAAATATCCTCAACCCTATAAACTTAACTTGACATTTTAATCTTATATTTTCCAAAGAAAATAAAGAGTTCATATACTGTTAATTTGGATTTTAAATGCATTCCATCTAAACAGCCAGTCCCTGTGATCCATCTAAACAGCCAATCATGTTTATGGGTACTTTCCTATGCACGTTTTAAAGGGGAAAGGAAGGGGAAAAAGGGGGGGTGGTTGGGGGTTATGCAGTATTTGTTTTGTTCAGTTGTTATGGTGCTGAGTTTCCAACAGTGCATAACCCACTAGTTTTCAGTTTTCTATTTTATAACAAAGTTCTAACATCATACATTCTCCTTTGGATATTTTATTTCTTTTCAAATTACTTAAAACCAACTTTGCTCATTGCAGGTCGTCATTATTGGATCTTTTCTGTGTGATCCATCAGAATCTGCATGGACTTGTATGTTTGGTGATGTTGAAGTCCCTGCTCAGATCATTCAGGAAGGTGTAATCCGTTGTGAAGCTCCTCCTCACCTTCCTAGGAAGGTGACTGTCTGCCTTACTGCTGGAAATCGGGTGTCTTGCAGTGAAGTCAGGGAATTTGAGTATCGAGTTAAGAGCTGTAGCTGTAGTCACAATAATTCACCTCCACAAGAAGCTGCTGAGAGTGCTGAAGAGCTGTTATTACTAGTCAGATTTGTTCAGTTGCTCATGGATGATTCATCAACACAGGAAAGGGATAGTGTCGGATCTGATTCCCTGAGGAAATTGAAAGCTGACGATGATTCATGGAGTAGTATCATTGAAGCCTTGTTACTCGGCAGTGGAAGTTCATCTAGTACCATATATTGGCTTCTGGAAGAGCTACTGAAAGACAAGTTGCAGCAATGGCTTTCTTCCAGATCCCATGAATTTGACCAGAATGGTTGTTCCTTGTCCAAGAAAGAGCAAGGGATAATACACATGGTTGCTGGTTTGGGGTTTGCGTGGGCCTTAAACCCGATACTAAATTGTGGAGTCAATATAAACTTCCGCGACATAAACGGATGGACTGCTCTACATTGGACTGCTCGTTTTGGAAGGTAATGAAACTTTCCTTTTCTCTGAGTATTATCAAAGGGGTGATGCACATGGGTTGTCATCGGTATTATTAGTTCGGATTTGTTTTTGTTTAAGATTAAGGTTGATTACTAAGCATAACTTTTGGATTTGTCTAATCTCATATAAGCTAGCTCTTGTTTTGCATCATTGAAACTTTCTTATTCTTAACAGGGAAAAGATGGCTGCCGTACTTTTAGCTTCTGGTGCATCAGCTGGAGCGGTGACAGATCCCAGTTCCCAAGATCCAGTTGGCAAAACTGCGGCATCTATTGCAGCAACCATTGGGCATAAGGGACTTGCAGGTTATCTTTCAGAGCTGTCACTGACTAGCCATCTGTCATCCCTTACGCTGGAAGAAAGTGAGTTTTCCAAAGGTTCAGCTGAGGTTGAAGCAGAATTAACAGTAAACAGCGTCTCAAATAGAAGCCTTGAGGGCAGTGAGGATCAGGTGTCACTTAAAAACACCTTGGCTGCAGTGCGGAATGCAGCTCAGGCTGCAGCACGCATACAGTCTGCGTTCCGGGCGCGTTCTTTCAGAAAACGGCAACATAAAGAAGCTGGTGTTAGCATAGATGACTACGGTATCAGTTCACGTGACATTCAAGGGCTTTCAGCGTTGTCAAGGCTAACCTTTCGCAATCCACGTGACTACAATTCAGCTGCAATATCTATTCAAAAGAAATACCGAGGGTATAAAGGCCGCAAAGATTTCCTCACTCTCCGCCAGAAAGTTGTGAAGATACAGGTACCTCACCTTTTGAACTCAGGAATGCAATTCATATGCAAAAGAAGTCTTCTTCGTTTTTTACCTTTTTCGTTTTAACGAAATGCAACACACGCATTTAAGTTCAGAATGTTGGATGTTTTCCTAGTTGGTAAAATGAAGTATCAACTTTTTTCTCTTGGCAGGCGTATGTGCGAGGTTATCAGGTGAGGAAGCACTACAAGGTAATTTGCTGGGCTGTTGGAATTCTGGACAAGGTTGTACTAAGATGGCGAAGGAAAGGAGTTGGTTTGCGTGGCTTTCGGCAGGAGACAAAGTCGAAAGAAAGTGAAGATGAAGATATTCTCAAGGTGTTCCGCGAACAGAAAGTCAATGTAGCCATTGACGAGGCTGTCTCGCGAGTGCTGTCCATGGTTGAGTCTCCAGAGGCACGCCAGCAATATCATCGCATGCTGACACGGTACCATCAAGCTAAGGTAAGAAACCAAGCAACAAATCTTTGGTGACGACACATTCCGTGGACTTGAATTTAGCTAATCGCGGAAGAACATATGTTTCGCTTGCAGGCTGAACTAGGAGGCACTAGCGGCGAAGGTGCCGAAGCAGATGCACCAAATTCCGGTGGCGATAACGTGATTGTAGACGACACTGATATGTACCTATTTACATAGAAGCAAGCAATATCTGATGATTCTAACTTAAGTAACTTTATTTGGTTGATGAAAATGTTACTGATAAATGGTAGACGTTTTATGGTTCTGAGTTTGTACATAATGATCCGATCTGACCTGGGATGAATCATGAGCATATGTTTTGAAATGTATGTTGTTGATGTAACTGCTCCGACTGACATTGTCGTTTGTTGATTCGGCCTACGCTCCTCTCTCTTGAGAGGAAAACTTACGCGCGCCGGAATAATTCGATGTTAACTGTTAAGCCTATAGTCACTCAAGCCAAATACGAGCTTGTGGTCTAGTGGTAAAGATGGATTACGAGGCTTCCTTAAAATTGGAGGTCTTGGGTTATAAATACGTTTCTGGGCTGGAAGTCAGATTTGTGGTCAGAAAGAGGCTGAAATGCCTCCGTGAATCTTTCCGATCCTTAAAATAGGTGGATAACCGTGGCTTGCCATCAGTTGTCCTTCTTTAAAAAAAAAAATAGTTGAACAATACTATCGTGACACATGTACATAGTTGTGAGCACTTTTTTCCTATGAGGTTTAAGATGCAATGATGTGGATTAAAGCTTAAAAATTTAATCTCGAGAATTTTAAGCCATAATTTATAAATTGTTAAATCCCAAGTTGTTAAAGAGTGCTTGAGTGAGTCTAATTTATTTCTTAGTAAATTTTGTTTTAAATAAATTTTACGAAGATTTTCATTATTTATATTTTATGAACTTTTTAATTTATAAATATTTAAATTTTAATGAATAATAAAAAAATACACACCGCATAAAACATTAAAGTCATGAAAATGAAAAACCCCTTCTACAAATATGGAACGCATGGAAGTTAGGTTCAACTCATTTGTTAGTTTCAACCATACATAAGTATTTATAAAATTTTTGGGTAAAAATTGATTTAAATATTTTATTTAATTAGTTTAGCTGTTTAAATCATTAATTTTTACTTTACCGTTAAATTTACTATATTTAATTGCGGCCTTTTGATCTAATATAGTTAGGAAAAAAATGGCCAACCTGGATCAAAGAAAAGAGTCGTGGGGCTCGTCGCAAGTGGCGAGAGCTGGACCCAGCGGCTGACGGTTTGTCGCGTGGCTTCCGTGAGGCGCCTCAGTGCGCTGCGGGTGGAATCTGGAATTAACGAAAAGGGTTCGAGACTTGAGTTTCTCTCTCTCTCTCTCTCTCTCTCTCTCTCTCTCTAGCTGAGATATTACATCGTAACCTATGGATTCGAAAGATGAGAACTTGGAGCTGATAAATGAGGCAATCAAGAGGCTCTTAGAGGAGAGGAAAAACAGTCAATCCTCCGCCGGCGAAGGCGTTTCCCAAGGTGGTGATGATGATGATGATGATGATGATAAAGATGAGGACCGCCTCCTCCTCCACCGATTGCTCTCTCAGGTCAGATCACCGGCCATCTCAACTAGTTCTCTATCTATTTCCCCTCGTATCGTTTCTTTTCTGATAGGGGAGTAACTTTCATGACACGTTACACTATTACCGCGCCAGATGATGTCATGATACAATTATCTGAAGCGAAACTTACGCATGATATCATGATAAAATTATTTGAAGCGAAACTTACACCTATCATCGTGTCATTTGCGCGCCTCAAATTCATGAACATATTAACAAATTGCCATTGAGACTCCAAAATACTTCAATTTTTTGTCGATTTTCATTACGAAAGGTTGCAATTGCATGATGAATATTTTGAGGTATTTCAATTCAGTTTCATTCCTATTGACAGTTGGAATCGTTAAAAGGCAATGGCGAGATTCGGAACTACGAAACTTCAACCAAAACGGGAGAGGAAACGTCCTCTACAAACGGCGAATTGAAGCCGGAAAATGAGAGTGGCGGCAAAGCAGATGGCGGTGGGGCTGAAATCGATACGGAAAAAATTGTGAGAGAAGTAAACAAGGTGAAGAAACAGAACAGCATCACTCACTGGCTGCTTTCTATCATGATTGTGCTCACTGTCGCCTGGCAAGTCTCCGAGGCGACTTTCCTTTGGAAACTCAACGAGGGATTCAGACACCCCTTTCGATGCATCGGAGGGATGCTGACGGGGAACGGGAAGGACTCGGAAGAACGCCACCGGAGTGAGTCTCCTTCTCTTCCTTCACTCCAAATACCTGAGCTCCCCTTGCCAGATATTAGTCTAAGTGAAAAGCATTGAATTTTTCAACAAACTGTGAATATTATTATGAATGTTTGGCTCCTTTTAGTTTTTTTTCTTCTTACCGTGATTTTATAAGTCACTTCAGTACATGCGTCAACTTGTGTATTACCGAACAGAACATATGAGTATGTTTGAGATTGTCTTGATGGATATTGTCGATGAACTGTAAGATTGGTTGATTAAATAGATAATTGAAAGTTATCCAAAGGATGGGATTACTTGGAAATTTTGTTCAAGTGTGGCACATAATACCACCCTTTGTTGAAATGTGAGTGATAATCTTATCGTTCTCTGTAGTTCAACCGGAAAATGTCATTATAACGCCGGAGCTTCCGCCTGCCATCGGCATCACGTGGAAAATCTGAAAAGGGGATGTTTAGATGGAACTTTCATCCTTTACCTCCTCACGCAAAGACCGTTTAGTCATTCATAGGAATTAAAAAAAATTCATGGTTCACTGTGGAGATGCTACTTATCACTATAACTGTTGATTGGTTCGACGCATATGATTTTCAAATCATTTTTCTTGGTTGATAAAAGAAAATGAACGATAAGGCAAGAACGCCGCTGGAGGGGATCGAACTCTCGCAAACAATGGTGCCGATTATGCGCGGGGACGTTCAGCACGACACGATTGACCGTCTCTTGCACAGTTGAGAGAACTGAAACAAACCAGCCAAACCAAAGAAAGCTAGAAAGAAAAAACCAAAGAAAATCTCCCTTTCCGTTACAAAATTTATTTGAGTGAAAACAGCTGCGTTATCGATACTATCAGCCGTGGATTCATGCACATGTGGTTTGAGAGCAAATTCCCACCAAGCAATCAATAGATATTACAGCGAAACAGAAAAATTTATATGAGGATTAGTCTTCAAACCTCCAATAACTGTATTCATTTAGACAATTACCCAGCAAGGTAAGCATCATCCATTTAACCAATAACAATCTCTGAAATTTTCTCTAAATTTAGAGAAAAACCACATTCAACAACACTAAACACACCACCAACCCAAAGACCGAAAGTCCATCCGGCAATAGAGAGAAATGTGATTCGTAATCTCATCTTCACGCATAGTTCAACCGGAAAATGTCATTGAGAACGTAGAAGCTTCCCTGTTGAGTCGGCATCAGATGGAACATCTGGAAATGAAATACAAAACTATGATTAGGTAGAAGCCAGCCGAAGATGGAAACGAAAACTAGTAAACTACAATGCAAAGATAAATATTTCAAGATGTTCACAACTACGTAAATGGTAAATCACGTATATATTGGATTCGATAAAGGAAGACACATGCCAGCACCCTATTATCTAAAATAAGTAAACATTGTAGAACACATTCGCAACAGGTTTATGAACAATTTTTCGGGAATCTTGGAATTATTTATCTGAAACACATACATCTGCATAAAATTTTCATGTATAAATGAAAAGCGATAATGACAACTCCAGGAGACGGCTCATAACATTAATACAAGAAGCAGGGAGCAAAGTCCATGGTATAATGATAAACAGGGCATGCAAGACAACAACAAGACCCAGAATGGAGCACTTATCCCTTATGGGGCACCTGAAAACACACAATGTCATATCCCAAAGCAGGAGGGAGGGGAGGGAGATAAAACTAATGCTGGAATTCTATCATGCGTTTGATGGCTGAGTGCAGGCAGAAAGTAGCCGCAGTCATATGCCAAAGAAATGCATATATACCGACAACAATCACGAACTGTCACTCAGTCAGTGCATCACACATCATGACCGAAGCAGAAAACCAAGGGAAACAATTTAATTAGCATACTTAGGTTTGCCGAGTTTTTATCTATCAGTTAACTTTCTTGACAAGAATAGCAAATCAAGCAGTTTCAAATCGTTAATCACTACACGTTGTCCAAGATCCCTGTAAAACGAGTGGCCATAAAGCAAAAGGTGATGCTAAACCCTTCATAATACCTACAAAGCAATTAGAGTCAAGAGAGATAACGGATAGATATAAATAGAATTCTGGACAATAAATACCAACCAATGAAATCAAAAATACATAACAACAACGTAAAATTTTCTATGACATGAAACTAGAAGACGACAAATTTCATGGACCTAGATGCCATAATTTAGGCCAGGAAAATGAAAAAACTATTTAGTAAAACTGAGAGTTCAATAGAGAATTCCTTTGCAATATAGAGAAAACAGCACTTTTATGCACACGGTTCAACATAAGAAGAAGCCAATATCTAATTAACAACAAAAGGCGTCGTTAAATCGACTAAGAATCTTCATTTGATGTGTAAAAACAGAAAGAAACACCCAACGAGCACAAAATCCACAGCATTGAAACATGTGAGCTCCAATCAAACTCAATATAAAAGAAACAAAATCAGAATATTCAAAGCTACAAATGTCCGTCTCCGCGAGTAATCCGCTGAGTGAAACCTGCATGAACACACACGGCTGAATCCGACTGAAATTACAATCACACAAGCTAACAACGCATGCATCCAATCATAAGGTCCACAAATCAAATCACATACAGAAAAACACCTGATTAATCATACCCAATACAGTCAATCAACGATGGCCGTTCCAATATCGGATTTGCATACTCGAGTTTTGAGTAGATCGGGGACTAAACCTCGATCACAGAGGCTAAAATCACTAAAATCATACCCTAGAAAACTCATAATCCTACTTATAGCAACAGCAGAAACGCAACGACAATCAAATCGTCACAACAACCACCAATCGCACGCCGATTTAGCAGCAGATCAGCAAATGAGTCACATCTAAAACCCTAAAATCGCCGCAAAAGATTTAAACAAAGACGAGGTAAGCAATATCAGACCTGGCTGAACTTGAGAGCGTGCTGTTCACCGGAGAGCTGGAGATTGCCGCTGACGAAGACGAGCATGCCGCCGGCGGGGCCAGAGGGCTGGCAATCGACGGTGGTGATGCTGTGCTGACACTGCTGGAAAGGGAGGCTGGTGAGCTTGGCCACGATGCTTTGTGACCCTTGGATCTTCTGACCCTCGAAGGTCAACATCGAGCTTTCCTGGTACAGATTCGCCAAGGCCGCGCGGTTGGCGTCGAACAACGTGTAGTAGTGCTCAACGAAGGCCTTGGAAAGTGCGTCTGGATCCATCGCCGCCGCACCTGAACGCCACGCCGCAGAGGAGACTCGACCGTGAAATTTGTTAGAAGGGACTGCTGCAAAACAAAGCGATGGGAGGAGACGGAGCGAGTAGAGACTTGTGACCGAGTGGCTAGTTTTTTATATATATTTGTATTTCAATTATTTCAGTTTTGCGGGGTCAAATTATAATTATCATAATTTTTTATTTATCAATCCTAATCCAAAAGTATTGCCGCGTGACTATAACGCTGGTTGTTATTATTGTTTTTGTTTTTTATTCTACACATTCGAGCTAATTTTTTTTGTAGTGGGATGCGTTACTAGTTTTTATGATAATTCTATAAAAAAATATTTCTTTCGTACCAGCAATATTGAAGAAGAGAGAATTTTTATGTTTCGGTGCAAGAATAAACGCGCAACTTGATATTGAAGAATATGAGAGTAAAAGAGAAGTAGGATTTTAATACAATCAAATGAATAGCACCAGAAGTTTTTCGTTAAAATTCCCTAAAAACTAATCATTCCAACTAAGTGCCCTTATCTTTGTATCTACGAATCGCTGTTGTTTGATAAAAAAATATTTCCATTCAACAAACCATGTAGTTCTAGTAAAAAGAGCATGTTATTAGGGCTCGTCATTGTTTGATAAGAGAATATTTCTATTTCTTAGGGCTTGGCATACATATGTCAGAAGTTCGATATCTGCAATAGACTCGGACAATAATAATCGACTTTCTCAAATTATCAACATTGTATGGTTACATCAAATCTAAAAAGAAAAAATGTCCGACTACAAATCTTTATTGAGGTTGTCATTTACAATGTGCATCCTCCAACAGCTTCCCAGGAAAAGCTACAACTTCCTCCTTCCTGCCAGATCAATCTCTACATAATACACAGATGCTAAGAAGTGTGACATATCTTCAACGATGCGAGCTTCTATTATTACATTCAGAATCCGAATCGGAATCCAAACCCAGAGCTTCAACGTTGTCGGTTCTCTCGAGCTTCAACCGGAACTCAAAATTCCAGGCTACCGATTTCAGTGGAAGAAGCTTGGAGATGGATCAACTTTACAAGGAGAATGAACCGGCTTTGATATCTGGCTCATAAAAATAAATACAAGGGAAAAGAAAACTGACTTGGATGACAAGTAATCGAGCAGGGCTCCTATATACACTCTGTGTGACAAAAGAAATGTTCTCCTGAAAAAATTAGCCAATGGGCAGTGTGTTGTCAGTTCCTGACGGCACTCGCGATGATTTCATCAAATTTTCGTGCATTTTCTTCTAATGTTCCACAATGAAAATATATGGAGCATTGGAGCGCGCAAACTAAATCTTCGTCAATAAAAACTTACTCCGAGGAAAATTCTGAATGCATTTACAGTGACTTGGAGAAACGGTGTGCTGATGCCATCAGCAACTCATCAATTCAAGTCCTCACTACGCGTTTCCAGTTGTAGTAGATTGGAAAAAACGTGAAACTTCGCGATAAAGCTGTTCAGCTTCAAATGGTTTTGAAACATATCCATCCATTCCGCACTTTGTGCATTCCTCATGGGTTGCCTGAATTACATCAGCAGTCATGGCCAGAATGGGTACATGCCATGCTTGAATACTGTTGCTGATATTGCGTTCTAAGTCACGTATTCTCCTTGTAGCTTCAAACCTGTGGGGGGGAAGAAATGAAACTTATAAATGTAGTGACAAAATTAATCCAGGATAGCTCAAATGGATCAAAATTACCAAAAAAAGGCCATGTATACAACCGAAAGAGAGATTTTATAAATGAACTACACATGGCTACCTTCAATATAAGACGACTTGCAAAAACTGAACTTGCTAAGAAGTAAGCCTCACGGATTAAATATTATTTTTAAATGTTAAGTTCTCTGACATTTCAGTGAGGTTTTCAAATTGAAAGCTTCCAAAACTAAAAGCATCACTCACCCATCCATCTCTGGCATCTGGATATCCATGAAGCAGGCATCAAAATGGTGGGGCGGCGTAAGCAGTGAGATTGCCTTTTTACCACTGTCTGCACAGATCACCTCTGCCCCATACTTTTTCAAAGCACCGGCAGCTACTCTGAGATTCACATTATTATCATCTATAATAAGAATTTTCCTTCTGAGCAGAAGATTGCGGAGAGACAAACTTGGGAGCTCCCCATTCCGGAGATTTCCCTTGTTACCAACTCCCATGGCTCTTTGCAGTGAGGCAGCGAGCATGCTTGCCCTGAGCGGTTTCATGATAACGGTTCGGGTAGAGACACCTGAAGTTGCAGAGCTTATTCTGCATGAGCTACTAGAATTGGCAAGAATGAACAGTTTTGGAGGAACCCGTCCATCAATTTTCGGTAAATTACTGACAAAGAGAGCTGAAGTTCCAGAATCTTTATTCCAGACTTCCTGTTCAACAAGGACCATATTGATAGTTGTACTCCCACAGCTTATGCTAGCTAAACCCTGATTCAAATCAGAAACTACTTCAACACGAATTCCAAGCCGTTCGATATGATAACTTGACATCTTGGCCCTAACAGGTCTTTGGTCCACTACTAATGCCGTCATGCCATTAAATTCTGAGGATGCAGCATTTGACTGGCTGTTGATTTGCTCGATGGTTAACTCATTTGAACTGGAGCTGGCATTGGTGAAAACAGCAGTAAATGTAAATGTGGAACCAATCTTCGGAATGCTAACAAACCCGATTTCCCCTTTCATGAGGCCAACCAAACACTTGCTTATGCTTAGTCCAATTCCTGTGCCTCCATGTGTACGTGAGATGGATGGTCCCACCTGCATAAAAGGAGTGAAAACACGAGATTGGGCTTCTAGAGGGATTCCTACTCCTGTGTCCTCAACAGATACAATAATATTTATGAGGTCAGATGAGGATGAAAAACGGCTTGCAGATCCATCTTGACCGAAACACCTAAATCCTCCCCAACTGTGGTGTTTATCTGCAACGGGGAAACCACTCAAAGTGTTCTTGGATGATGATTCGGTCTCAACGCCTATTGAGCCGATCAGCTCCTCGACAAGATGAACCGTCACAAAGATGTGTCCTTTCTCTGTGAACTGTATATAAAATAAACAATGTCATTGCCATTTTATACAGAACGCGGACAACATGGCTTAAATAGAATTAATTTCCCGTATTTAACAAAGCCTAATATACGGTTTGATACATAAATATATGCAGGGGTACATTTATCCACTCTCATGATTTTACTCTGTATAACAAATAGTTGAGAACCCACTGGACACTTACTTTGATTGAATTCCCCATGAGATTAGTGATAATCTGCCTAAACCGCCCGGGATCACCAATAAGCATATCAGGAACCTGATCTGAGATGTATACTGCCAACTGCTCTCCCCAAAAATTTGGTCATGAAAATTTCAAAAGTTCAGTTATTAGACAACGAAAACTTGGAGCAGAAAACCATACATAAAACAGTGGAAAATGTTTTTTGCTCTGGGGAAGTAGTGGGGGTAGAAACACTATTTACCTCTACTCCTTTTTGTTGAGACTTCCCCGAAAAGAGTGACAAAACATCATCCAGAATAGCTCGCAGATCAAAACGCACTGCCTCAAGCTCCAGCTTACCAGATTCAATCTTTGCCTGGTCCAATACCTCATTTATAAGTGAGACTAGAGCTTTTCCACTTCCCTGGGCAGTTCGGACATAATCTAGTTGAGTAACATCCAGGTTTGTGTCCATTAGCATGTGTAACATTCCTGAAAAGGGACAGGATTGTCAAAGTTCAGCAAGCTTTCTTTTGGCTGTAGTTTTGCTCTAAAATCTTGAGCAATGCCGGGACATGATTTTAAACAAATAACAGCAGCAGTCTCGCAAACTCACCTAGGACACCATTCATTGGGGTTCTGATCTCGTGTGAAACAGTTGCAAGAAACTACAGAGGATTACGATCTGATTAGGCACAAGCATAGTACAATTCCAAAGAAAGTTTTCCTGCGTTAACAAAAGTCAGAAAGTACCTGAGATTTGGCAACATCAGCTGCCTCGGCCTGTTTCTTGAGTTCCATCATCTTATGGAAATCATCCTCCACTTTGGCAATCCTATTTACAGTTGCATGGAAAATGTAGCCAACAAGCAATGCAATCACAAGGATCCCAATAGAAGTTGTAATGGCTAACCACGGCCAAGGTGGCTTCTGTTTGAACCTGCATAAAGAAGAAACTCGGCTTCTGAATACAGTTCTACAAGACTTTCTAGATGCCTAGGTCCCTCAGAAACAGTGTGATCAGAATAAGAAATACAAACATAACATTTCCTAGTCTCGTCCCATTACCAGAGACCAAGGAGAGGCCTATATAACATAGAAGCTCAACTCTAAAAAGTACAAGGCACAAGACTTAGTAGTTACCTGCACCGCATCTCATGGTTCCTTAAGGGATCTCCAAAACTTAAGGAGCTGACGTGCTGCAATCCATCATCTGAAACATTTGAACCGTACATGCTGATTGGATGCGACTGATTGGTAGTATCATACACGTCCACAAGGATGGTTTGCTTGCTAGCAAGTTGTTGAAGTAACTTCTCCACTAGTGACTCAATATGAAAGATTCCACCGAGATACCTGGTTGGCAGAAACAACAGGATTAAAAACCTTCTTCTAAAGTATAACCACTCTGAGTGTTATGAGTCCAGCAAAGCAATTATGTCTGCTGATATCCCTTCAAGGCCTTGATGATACCATAAAGGAACGTGGACATGCTTTTTATCGGCGGAAGACTTGTATTATGCTTTTATTAATAATATGTTCTCATTCGAAGAAAGCATACCCATCAGTCGCCTGAATTCTTTCGTTTGGAGTTGCATTTGAGGGCAGATCTCTTTTGTAGACAGCAAATGTCAGTATTACTCCAAGTCTGTTTGTTTTAAGCAGCCGAAAAGGAGCAGTAAGAACCCCCTTTCCCGATTCTCTTGCACGCAACACATTTTGTCGATCTTCCTGTTGAAACGCAAATGAATGAAACTTCACGAGTGAGGATTGCAAATCAGGAAACCAAATTTTTCTAGATAGCATGAGACAATGTCAAGAGCTTTCTAAATTTCTAATATAAAGGTACTATCATCTAAATTTTGGATACATCAGGACTGCAAAGTAAAAGTAAAAGATGCTAGACAACTACTAATTAACATGCTGCTTAATTAAGATAATAGAATTCGACTGGATCTACCAGTATGGTTATTAAATGAATTGTGACAAGTTGACGAAAGAAACTAGATAAGGAAATACCTTTCCGGTCAGCATATCAAAAGAGATGACATGTCTAACGGTATCCTGTGCAAAGATAACAGGAGCATATTCTTCCTGAACTGGGGAAGGTTCCAAGGCCTCTGGGGCATAGTCATTCTTATGAACCTGGTTCTGTTCGAGGGTATCCATTCTCTTGATAGTCCAGCCCTGTTGCTTCTCAAATTGTTCCTTTTCCGAGTGGAGCACCCTTACAGCATATGCCACGCCACTTGTGAGGGGTCTCTCGAAAGCAGTTCTTTCAGTGTACCGCGCAAAAGTTTTCTGCAGGCTCGAAAGTTAGGATGTTCCATCAACTAGATAACAAGCATCATAGCTAATATCTGAAATTAAATTAAGCTAAACATATCAAATTAACACCGGTTGAGAAACCGGTACACAATTCTTCGAATTTAAAGCAAATCCCCACATGAACAAAATGCATCAACTAGCAAACCAGGTAATTAACAGACAGGTAGGTACTCATTAAGTACCCTCAATTAATATCAATCTGAGCGACATAAAACACCAATTAGCCTATACACATCAAAAGCACCAATGACACAAATCAATTCCAACATATTTACCATCCTAAATTGCTCAACGTTGACAGATGATCTCTTTACCTGATCAATGGCCGATGGATACTTTCCGTGGTGGAATGTTGAGATCAGTATCGACATGGCCTGGATATGGTTCATGCTGACATTAAACTGATCCTGCAACATCCTCGCCCTTTCATCACACATACTTGCAAGAGTCTCCTTCCTCTTCTCACTGGCCTGTGAGCTCATGTACCACAAGATCCAGAGGCTCCCAATTGTCCACCCAACCACCCACGAAAACAAAAGCCTCCTCCACCACGTTTTTCGGACTCTCTTCGACCCGATATACTGGTAGTAATGGTGGCGGATCTTGCTGATGTTCATTGGGATTTTCTCCCACCATTTGAGGCACATATTGGCAGCTTCACCAAGCAAACCTACCTTGGTGTCTGTCACAATCCCACCAGTGAGGTACCAGTTCATGGAAATTACAGATACAATCCAGCAACATAGCATCCAAAGCAGATGCCCCACCTTTAAACCGAACCCAAAAACATGGAATAAACTCATCCACCACAGCAGTAAACCAAGCAAGTTAACCACAAACAGTGCCAAGAGGTCAAATGAATTCTAGAGAGAGAAAGAATGAAGAGAGAGAGAGAGAGAGAGAGAAGGAGAGGGAGGAGGAGACACCAGCTATCAAATCAACAGGAACTGTCCAGCAAAACCCAACATTTAGAAGTAAAAAATTCCAAGCTTGGAAGAACAAACCCACCGACCTTGAATTCACTGCAACCAGGAAGATTTTGGGATTCTGGGGACGATGTGTGTGGTGTGGTGGGTGTGGGAAGAAGTTATCTTATCTAAACACCCAAATAACTTCAATTTTGGGTGCGCAGGAACCAAAAACACGACACCCAAAATCAGGAAAAGACAATAAATTTACTAACAGCACTTCCAAAGAACAACAGAATCCCAAGATTCTGTCTGTTTTTTTTTCTAAATTCTAACAAGAGTTTGATTTGATTATCCTCTTCAGCCACCAACCCAAACCCAAAACAAGCAAATGCGACAGCAAAGATTCCAACTTTGGTAATCAAACCAACAGAGGAAAATCCTAGTTAAGGAGGGAGTCCTTAAATTCCTGAAATCAAACCAAACCCAGTTCGAGCATGTGTGGTTTGTTTGTTAACGTTTGACTATTGAGCACACCCAGCTGCAAAGATCTATGCAGAGAAGAAGCACTGATAGCACTACAAGGAATGAAGATAATGGTGGAAGTAGCAACTTTGGGAGTGGAAGAAGAACAAGAAGCCAGCAAGTTTGGATGATTCATGGACATTAAGAATTAGGAAGAAGAATCTGTGAGAGAAAATATTGGAAGAATATGGTGGTAGAAATGTCTGCTAGCACAGCCCATTATCTCCATTCAAAACATCCACCCAGGAGAAAATAAAATATTTTAATAAAACAAAAACAAAACCAAATAATTATATAAATTTGTTTACGTGGAAAGATGGATAAATATATTCAGAAGAAATGTTAGTGAACCGTAGATACACCTTGTCGTAATAAAATTGACCGATAATACTTATTTACGGTAAAAATCAAATTCACAAGTCAGTTTTAAGTAAAGTAATAATATCACGTAATCGTGTTTCGGTGCCGCGGAAAACTACTCGATGTTTAGAAACGAATGGCAGTAAAGGTACACTCCCACTGAAGCAGAAGTAGCTGCATTATTTCTCCAACTTTCCTATGGCGTTCACATCCATATCCATCAAATGCCCCAGTCGACAAATTCTACACGCTATGGGCGCCAATTCGTTAACTCTATGCGTTTGTAAGGCTGTACTTTTCGATGACAAAAGTACCCTTTGCATGGGGGTCTAATTTCATTCTTCGACATCTTTGCCTTAGGTGCTTTGTACCAAATGGCATTAGATGCCCCATACTTTTCCAAAATTGCATTTGGAGGACCAATAGTCAAAAGAGTTGGTAAAAGATACAAGGGCCAATGATAGGAACTTGTGGGAGGTGCCATTGTGCTATCTTCTATCCTATTCCATTCCCTGTTTTTGTTCTGGAATCTAAACCAATGTTTGGTTGCAGGCTTAGGGTTTTTTTATTCTCTGTTTTCGGATTATGGATTGGTGTTGATAGGTGCTTTGTTCTATTTTTATACTATAAGAATTTGGAACGAAAATCATGAAAATACGAAAGAAAAAAGTGTAGAAGACAACAGACGAAGCCGTGTTTCATTTGCTTCATGTTCGTAATTTTTTTTTTTTCTTTTTGGTGCCATATAAGAACACATTGATTTGTAACCAAACGTTGGAGTGGGTAAATGTCTGATTTCAACTATATAATATAACTGAGTTAGTTTGGTTTGGTATATACGTGACAAAATCCAATAATTAAGATTTCGACTGGTTCACTGGTTAACCGGTTTAAGATCCATCTTATTATGATTTGTATGGTGCCTCAACTCAAAAACTCAAGCTCGTTACATTGAAAGCAAAGCTAATAAGGTATCTGTCTTATGTGTCACTCTACCAAGATTCGAGTCCTTTCGGCTTGAAATTGTGGGCATGCATTGTTGATGATGGTGAGTAACCAATCTCATCTTAAACTTTTATCCGTAAAAAAAGCTAATAAGTTAAAAGAAAATGTTAAAAGTAAAAGTTAAAACCAACCCCACCAATGACAAAGAGAGTTTTGTGTACATGTGTAGATGTTACCAATCCCTACATGCCTAACAGGAAGCAACAAACAAACAAACAAGAAACAAAAGTTGGACCAGCAACCAGGCATGGAAGCAAATACAACCAAAATGCAAGGGCTAAATTGTCAACGAAGAAGATAAGCTATGGGAGGTGGTTAGACGACAACAGTGGCAGAAGCGTAAAAGTGTGAGAAAGCAGGGGCGAGAACAAAAGGGCACTTTAATCAAGGCTTGTCACGAAGTGATTAGGCCATCACTACTACCCACTTCCTTTTTTCTGGTGAGCTCCTTGTGAAAGCGACCCGTCCCACGTCAGCGCACCGGTTCTCTGCCGCTGGCCAATCAGAAGGTCCAAAATGTAATGTGCGTAATGGCTTTGCTTGCTACGTGTCACGTGTGGGGGGAGACGATTGGAAATGTGAGCATCTTCTCTCTCTCCCCCCCCCCTCTCTCTCCTCTCTGCGCTTCGTTTTGGGCTAAATTTGTCGGAGTCCAGCTCAGCAATGTGTTCGCGTATAATCAACTCTGTAAAACTGTAAAAATTGCCTCTTCATCGCGGCTTTTAGTGACCGGTAACTTTTAATTTTTTCCTCGGATAATTTAATATGTTTTTTTTCTTGTACAATATTGGATCATTTCTTTCATTTTATAATCAATTTTCATGCTTGATTTATTACTTTTCGATCAAATTCCACATGATGTTCTTGGTTTTGAAATCGTCTTTCAAGTTGAATTGTTACTTGCCGATTTGACAGTGAGCATATTTTATTAACTTGAGGAGTTGAGCAGTGCTTATTTTGACCTTACTAAAGATGTCAATATTATTTTCCATTGTAGCCATTCATGGTTCATAACACTTCTCGATCCGACTTTTCAGCACCGAGCAGGTGTCGTGCTCTGTATATCACATGATTATTTCCCTAAGTGAGGCATTTTCTAAACCAATTAGATAGAGTAAAGAGGGGTCTAATTGCATATAAATATGAAAGAGTGCGTTGATGGTCTCCCTACAAAAATACCACAACCTACTAAAAGTTTGAATTTTTTTATAAAATGATATTCTAATTTATTTTAATTCATAAGAAGTATTTAAATTTGAGTGCAAATAAATCAGACAAATTCTTCCTAACTCACACGTGTCGTTACTTCATTAATTAATAGTAAATAGTGAATTTTATTCAAGTGCCACCTATGCATATGCAAAATTACATGAACTTTCAAATAGTTAAAATGAATTAATTTGTCTTATATATGATGTAAAATAAATTTGTGTATATAAATGGAACCCACTCGTTATTAGTACCATTTCTAGGTCCCATTAATATAAAAAATTAAAAAATATATATATAATTCAAATAGAATAATAACAACGTATGCATCATTTTGAGGGGGATTAATGAAAAATATATATAATTTGAATAAAATAATAACAACATGTGACAATTTTTAATATCGACTGAAAAAATTACTCTTAAAATCATATATTTTACTTCATCGTATTCAACTTGGTTGCAAGGATGGATGCAGTTTTGTCCTTGAAGCAAATTTCTTCTGGAGATGCTAAGACTGTTAGAACCAGAAACTTGCAAAGGACTGCTGCAATGCAAAGTTCGAAAGCTTACTCAAAGCAGAGGGAGAATTCTACTTACATGAAAGCAACCATCATGGCTAATAAATAGCCTTACAACTGAACAGAAAAGAAAACAACTGCCCACGATTTTACAGGTCCTATAATCGTGGTAAAGACTACGTCAAAACAGAAAATGCTTACTTGTCCCTTAAGAATAGGGATTATTGAATAACAGCCCTAAAAGCTAGGAACCCTAAAAACAGAAAACCTAACAACTTTAACATCCTCCCTTAAACTGACTACTCAAATATTCAGTTTACTTCTGAAAACTTGCAGACGCCCAATAATTCACGCAACTTCAAGAAAGCATCACCCTTCAAAGGTTTTGTGAAAATATCTGCAATTTGTTCTAGAGTTGAACACTGCACCAGCTCCAGATCTCGACCTTTAACTAAATCTCGAAGAAAATGAAACCTTACATCAATATGCTTACTACGACCGTGCATCACAGGATTCCTTGAAAGTTTAATTGTCGAAACATTATCACAATACACCAGAGTTGGACCATTTTGTTCCTGATTAAGACTCTTCAAAATTCTTCTTAACCAGATTACTTGACAGGCACCTGATGCTGCAGCTATGAACTCCGCTTCAGTGGTGGATAAGGTTACAACTGGCTGTTTCTTTGAGGACCAAGAGACAGCCCCTGAACTTATTATAAACACATACCCTGAGGTGCTCTTTCTATCATCTTGATCACCTGCATAATCGCTATCAGTGTACCCAATCACCTCCTCAGTTCCTCCCTTTTTGTAGAGTATCCCCAAATCAGTAGTTCCTTTAATGTATCTGAGAACTCTTTTAACCGCCTGCATGTGAACTTCAGTTGGACGCTCCATGTATCGGCTAATCAAACTCACAACGAACATCAAGTCAGGGCGTGTAGCTGTTAGGTACATGAGACTTCCTACCATCTGTTTGTAAACAGTGCCATCAACCTCTATTCCTCCTTCATCTTTTGTAAGTTTGAGACCAGGAACAATGGGATTTAGTACGGGGTTGCATTGATCCATGTTAAATCTTTCCAATATCTCTTGAGCATACTTTCTTTGACTAATAAAGATTCCTTCAGAACCTTGTATTACTTCAATACCAAGAAAGTATCTCATTTTCCCGAGATCGGTCATGTCGAACTCCACCATCATAGATTTCTTAAATTGTTCAAACATCATCTTATCATTTCCAGTGAAAATAAGATCATCGACGTAAAGACAT